GTTCTGCTTGTGCTTTCTGATGCAAGTGAGAGTTGGTGACCAGTGACTAAAGAGATGACTGGTGGGAACTCTCAGGTTGTGCTTCACAAAGGAAGCTTTCCCTTGCACAGAGATTCAAACCTTCACCTCTTTGTCCGGACAGCAGCGGAACCTCCGTGGGGTTGTGCAGGTCGGTACAGAGAGGACCCAGCTGACAGAACCACTGCATACCCCTAACAGAGGACAAAATAAAATTATTGAAATAAAATTCTAATACATAAATATATAAATAAAACAATAAAAACCGTCAAACACAATGAAAACCCCACTGAACATATATGTTACAAAAAATAAAAAGGAAAACAAACTGAACAACACAACTCCTCTTTTCCATGGTGCAGATGTTTTCAGGTCTCATCTTTTTGTGACATGTCTGTTTCAGCAGCCCTCCTGTCTCCACATCTAATCTCAGCACGATCCCCTTCATCGGTCTCATTCCACCGCGTTTTCTTCAAATTTTCTTCCCCCTTCCCTTGCATTTTCCTCTTACCCTTTCCAATTTTTCACCTTTTTTCATCTATTTTTTGCTTTGGGCCCTGGCTGACCCAGAGGGACCTTCCATAGACACACCACCGCATTTCCCAATGATTTCCCGAAGTTTCGAATATCTCTTAAAAAGAAGAAAGAATCCTTTATTTTCAGACTTACTCCGATTTTTGTTTTTTCCTTGCAAAGCGCGGAAATGGACGGTGGCGAGGCTGCACTTGCTCTCTCTCCCGCGTCGCCGCCGCGTACCTTATCGTTCCCAACACTATTTTTCCTGCCTATTCTCCACGTTGCCGAGTTTCTCGCCCTCCAGCGAGGCGGCGGGGGCGGTGGTGCGGGATCCCCGAGGATGGGCGCCAGCGGGCGGCAGCGCCGCAGCGCATCCGCCGCTCCCCCCGTGCCGCCCGATCCCCCCGAGGGGTCGCCGCCGGCACAGAGTGCACCACTCTACCTCCACAGGTTGGTTACTTCGACCTTTCTTTTAGTAACAATGCAAACGATGATTATTAATAATCGTATTCATAATGGTAACAACACCAGGTATAGTGTCATATACCATTTGGAGGTTGGTTATTTGCGGGGAGGGTATTACATCTCCCCCCGCACCAGATGGGTAAAATGCAGGCATCAATCTGCTCAGGACAGCTTGAAAACCAGGCAGAAACTATTGCATCCTGATGAAAACACGATATTAACCTAGCCGGAGCGGGTGGGGACAGATGCCAAGAAATACAGTTTTTTGTAGTGGTTTTCTCTAACCCTGCAGTTTTTGCTTGGTGAAGTTCGCTGGCTGTAGCGGCGTGGACATGGGATCCCGTTGCCAGCTAGGAAGCAGGCGGAGTCTCCATCATCCTGCACGAAAGTTCTCTCTGGATAGTGCTGTATCCTGGCAAACCACAGCAAAGAGAGTTTTCCCCACTGTGGAAGCTGTGTCCCTGCGTTGTGGTCTCCTTCCCGTCCCTTTGGACAATCTGCCCATGAAGTAAAGGTTATTTTTTTCTGGAGCAGGAGCAAAGAAGAAACGTGCAGTAATGTCTGGGGGCAAGCTATCCTCGCAGGACGAGAGTGTTTCCTCACCTGTTAGGGATTGCGCCTGAAACTCTTCTTCAAAGCCGCTTTGCGTCTGTGACCGAAGTCCTCCCTTCTCACTAGCATCTACCTTTACACAGACTCACAGGCTTGTGTCCCGCAGGTTATGGGGGTGCCTGCCGACACACAGGGACGCCTAATCCATGTGTTGGGGTGTGGCACCTACATGAGGATTTCAAGTTTGCTCCTACACACAGTTGAATCCCAGCTCCTGGTGGATCCTGGGTCACAGGTCCACGATCACTGTGGGTTGAACTACTCCTTAAGATAACTTCCAACCCCTTGGTCTTTAGCGAGTGTAGCTGTTCGTATAGGCGTTAAAAGGGAAAGAAAATTCATCCTGTTGTTTCTACAGTTCTTTGGGAAAATCATCCCTTTTAATCATGTCTGGAAAATATTTATATACGCTTAAAAAAAAAGAAACAAAGAAAAAAAAGTAACTTTTTTTCTTTTCTATGAAACAATTCATATCGCTTTTCATTTCCTCTAATGGGAGGAATGATCCCAGCTGAAATGAGTCAGGGGCTCAGGGGAAAATTGCCGTATGTTCCTCACGTAGCTGTTTGGGATGAGTCTATTCGTACCTTCCCAGCAGGGAGACTCCTACCCCGTTTCTGAGGTCGGGCAGGCTCACTTCTCCTTCCCCACCCACACAGAAACCAGGAAGCTATCACTGTATCCCTCCCGACGGGGCGCCCCTGGTTCCAGTGCGAAAGCCGGACTTCCCGGTCGTAGAATTACAGAATCTTACAATCACTGAATCACAGGATCATAGGATGGTTTGGGTTGGACTGCATTTGGAGTGGGATCTTATCCTATTTTAAACTCTTCAAGGAAAACGTGCCAAGCCAAAGTATGTTCAGAGCTTCTCGTTTTATTACTTAAGCACATCTTTATAATAACATTCTGCTCAGAGTTTGAAAGAAAAAAGTAAAAAGGAAGGAAAAAAAAAAAAAAGGACTCAATTTCCAAAGAAACGGAAAACAGAAACAGAAAGCTTTCTATCCTAGTTTTTGAGAAATGTTCCATTCTCCACCATAACAGAAGTTTTGGCTAAGTAGCACTTGCAGGACTGGAGTCTACTTTGAGCTGTTTAAATAACTAAAGCAAAAATATTACTTTTAATACTTACGATGCATTTGAAGTGATTATGTTCGGGGCAGAGGACCACGAGTGTGTCCCGCTTAAAGTCGAACTCTCTTCAGAAAGTGCCACAGTTTTTAGAATGTCCCACACTTATGGTTAGAAATCCAGGTGTGCTATTTCGTAATGAGAGTTTTAAGGAGAGAAAACCATTAGAGGAAAGACGGAAGTAGAATTAGCCATATCCCTTGACCAGAATCATTAAGAAGGATTTTAAGTGCTTCATCTCCTATTGTATGGTTTCATGCTCTTAAAAAAATTTTTTATCTGATAATTATGTTCCGTACAACTGCATGGCTGGAACACTAATAAATTTGGAAATAAACTAGTTTAAATTAAGCAAATTTCCTACCCCTTTAAAATCCTTTGAGAAAGAGATAATGTATACATAAGTTAAAAAGAGATAAATTTGAGATCTACATTTTAAAACAAGCAGCCACATATCCTTATAACTTAAACAACTGGGCCAAATTCTCACTCTTTAAAAATCTGGTGCACCGATTTCAATGGCTTTAGAACCAATTTGATGATTTCCTATAACAATCTGCTTTTTATCTCTCCTGAATTCTTAGAGTTCTATAGTAGTTCATGCCTGGGGCTGACCTACCCAGAAAGAATTTAGGTGATTTCTGAAGTCAAAAGCAATTTTCTTTAATCCCACACACACAAAACAAACAAAAAAACAAACCCCCAAAACCAAAATAACAATAAAAGAACAAAAAGCAAGCAAAACAAAAATAAAATTTTAAAAACCAGCCCCAACCCAAATAACTGTTGAAGAAGAAAACCTACGCTTGAGTATTTTCAAAAACATGCAGAGAGACGAAAAACCATACTCCATACGAGTAAGTGAGTACATGTAATTAAAAGCAGTAACGATAAACTGGGTAAAGGGGGGAGGGGGTGTGAACCTCCAACCACATAAATTCAAGAGTTTCCTTTTTTTTCCATCTGCTTCGGGTAAGGATAATGCCAACTCTTCTCATTGTAAAATGAAGTAAGTTCTGATATATTTTAGTTTTTTGTTTTGAAAAAAAAAAAGTTTCTGCACTAAATTGCATCATTCAAGGATTTTATTTATGCAATTTAAGTAATAGGAATTCCAACGTGGTCTGGCTTAGCTGTTTCAGTTATATTAATGACTTCATATAAAACCATAATCGGTAGAAGCTAAAGACAATTTGTGAACATTTTATATGATACTTAAAACACTCTTTTCTGTTTATGCTATATTTATTTTCATATTAGTAGAATCTGGGTTTCAATATATTAATACTTAATAGTTTAATTCGGTATCATTAACTCAACTTCTTATTACATTATTTGGGCTTTGTGGTATAGTATATAAAAGGTATAAACATCCAGAAATATGTTGACAAGTATCACTGTTGGCCTATTTTCATTCTGCCTAACAAAACTTACAAAAAACCCACAGAAATCACAGTCTGGTTGACATACTCTGTTCCAAATAACTGTATGGCAAATAATATGTGTCGTCTTTGGCATTACAGAGGGAAGAAGGCTTGGAGTCGTGCTATCCTGGCATGCAAATCGCGCACAAATTGTAATGGATGTCGCAGTCACAACCCGTGGGGAGGTATCTGCCCAGTACCTATGCCAACAATTTTGGGAGAATATGACCAGATGAAGGTCCAGCCAATGAACTGCAAAGGCTATCGGTATATCTGCAGCAGTGAAAGTTTCGAGGAGTCCGGATCCAGATAGTGTGACCCCAGACCCTCGACACCGATGTGGCAGAGGGGGGCAGCTGCCGCTCATTTGCCGCCTGCGCCCCGGAGTGCCGAGCAGCGCCGGCTCTTCAGCACCAGCGCGCAGCGATGTTCTTCAGGGGGCTGGCCGCCAGCAGAGCCCATGTTCCCTAAGAAGTCTCTTCCCCATGCCCTCTGTCCCCTCCAGCCCCGACGCCGACCTCGCAGAGGCCTCTTAAATTTACCATCGGCCTCGGTAGGAATAGCACTGCTAATGCCGACAGCTGAGGGTGGCGCGGGAGGCGATGCGCGGCGCGGGGAGGATCATGCCCACCCCTCGCTCCCGAGCCCCATGGGACGCAAGCACGCCTCTCCCTCTCTTGCCCCAATCTCGAGTGCCCCTGAGGCCTGCAGGCTAAGCCCCGACTCCTCTCCCTGCCTGGCGGGAGGAAATCCCCTTCGAAAGACGTTTCCCCGCTCCCGATGGCTTTCTGGCTTTGGGGTTGGGGGGAACGGGGGAAGTAAGTGTGTAGGAAATACCGGGGCAAAGCGGGGGAGTGAGCCACGCCACAGTCCGGTGTGGGGCAGCCTTCGTGGCCGCCCTCCTCTCTCCAAAAGCAACCTGCTCCTCGTTCCCCCCTTCTTCCTTTCTTCCCGCCCGTCCGAGAGGGACTGGGCTGGCGAAGCCTCTCCTGACATCCCTGCGAATGATGCTGCAGAACGGAGGCCGCGCGGTGAGTACCGGGACGGGGAGCCCCCGGCGAGGGATGTGGGGGGAGCTGGGAGGGGTCCGGCCCTGCCGTGTCACCACCAGGCGGGGAAAGTGTGTCCGGGATTGAGGGAAAGGCAGGGAAGCCCTCCTGTTCCCCGTCCTCTCTCAGATCTTCAAATCTCTGCCTTCCGAAATAACGCGCGACGGGCCGAACGGAAAGAGGGGGACGATCCAGGAAAGCATCCCTTCTGGGTGGAGGGATTCCCTGCGCCGCACCCCCTTTTCTGCTTAACATCCTCCTGCCCTCTAATTTCTTGCCGTCAGTGACGAATCTTATTCACGTGCAGAGAAGCTATTGGATTTCAACCCTGGTTAGCTGATGTGGGCCCATGCGCCAATGTGCCTTGTTAAATAGCCGCGCGGGAGACGCTGGCGTATCTGCACCATACTGTCTGTGCCCTGAGTATCGCACCCCACAGGCATGGGGGTTAGGGAGCGGACACAGGCCGTCGAGTGTCCCTCGGGATGAAATCAAAATCAATGGTGTTGGAATGAGGCGGCGGGCGCATTCCAGTGATTGCTCGGGGTGTGCCGGTCTGGACAGGAAAAGGATGGGGCACAGCCTCCGCCTGCGCCTGTACAGGTTTGTATACAGGTCTGTCTTCTCCCGCTCAGCGTCCTCTTGGGGGTGAATAAGAGGATCTGATGTCCTGTAAGGGTTGAGGGAGGTGTGGTGACAGCCCTACATCCCGCTTTAAAACCGTGTTTTCCCGTCAGACCTCCGCAGCTCCCACAGCGTGGCAACAGAACACATCACCTTAGCTCTGTTTCAAGATTCCCCTGTTGCTACTGAAAAGATGGAGAATAAAACAGGAGGGGAAGTGGGCCATCATGGCAAGGGGCTCTGCGTCTCTGTCCTGGTCAACGTCCCCGGTGTAGGACGGGCTGCCCGATAAGCTCTGCTCCCGATGCTCAGTTCGGGAGATGAGCTGAGAGAGCTCTGAAACATTTTGACAACAGGTGTATAAACACCCAAACTGCAAGGTTTTAATGAAGATGCTGGTGTCACAGCTAGACGGATTGGTGTTCCAGCAGCATTGGAATCGGCACCAGCAGCACTGTCCATCTGTCCGTCCATTCGTCTGCAAAGTGCTGCAGTGGGGAGACGCGGTGGGAGTGGGACGAGGATTACAATATGTTGCACAGGGCAAAAAGAGTGACAACCGTCGTTTTGGTGTCAAAACAGTCATTGCATTTTGAAGTGGTACCAGAACAGAAGGACAACATCCTTCCCAGGACAAATGGACAAAGGCCACCACCACGTCTTCTCTCCTAGAACCCCATCGGTTCTGTTGTGACTTCTAATCTTTATTTTTCCACTGGCCGTAGTGAAAGCGGCCCTCAGATAATCTGATCGGTCCATTGGCTGAGATGCCTTTGCTAAGAAAAACAACTCGAAATTGTTATCCTATTGAAGGGCAGAGGAATTTGCACTCGGGTTTTGCTGTGTGATAGATGTAGCTCAGTTTTGTGTATTTCCCTCCGTGTGCATCGCTGGTACCATCAGCACAGGCGCACGTGATTTTGTAACTGCATTTAGCAGTGACGCTGCTTTTAAATTGAAATATTTTGTGGACATAAGCCCAAAGAGCCTACTGGGAAAAAGAATTACAAAAAAAATAAAAAAAACCCAAAAACCTTTTAAAAACCACCAACACACAACACATCATGTTCTTATATATATATATATATATATATATATATATATATATATATATATATTTCTGAAATAATTTCCTGGAAGTGAAGAAGAAACGTCCTATGAGAGACAGGCAGGGTTACTCTTCTGTCTGTCCAAAGCCTGTTGAGATATGAGAAAATCACAAATTCCTAACAGGAGATGTAAAAAGTCAATCATAGAAACACATCGTCTTGGAGAAAGTTCAGCTAATGAGCTACCAAAATCGAAAAGAAACCGGAAAAATAAACCAAAATAAGACAAAACAAAAACAAACAAACAAACAAACAACAACAANAAAAAAAAAAAAAAAAGACGGGGCGCTTAATCCAATCAAACACGACCTCTAACTTTCAGGGACTACATAATTTTATATTTTTCCTGTCGGTCTACTGCGTTTAAAGCTCTTCCCTACCATTGCCAGACGTAAGAATTGCATTTCTGTAACATCAAACCTTTCATTATTTTTATTCAAAAAAGGGAAGGAAAAATCGAAGAAAGATAAAAGCCTACTACGATCAGCTAACAAGAGCTTCCGAGAAAAAGGTCTTTCCACGCAACAGACGTACAAATTCAATTAAGAACGGAGGGCCATTCTGCAGGGAAGGATACTAAAATATTGTTATTCCCTGAGATATTGCAGCTCCTCCCCCCGCCCCCTGCGTTTCGTAACCCCGACTGCTCTTCAAACAGGCATCCACAGACCGACACTGTATTTTGATTGCGGCAAACAACATACGAAGCGCAGTGTAGAGAGAGGAAGGAGACGACGATTACCATACCCCACCTGCTGTGGGGTCAAGGAGTAGAAACAGGACGGAGAGACGAGAATATTGCCTGCCACCCGAGGGATGCTCTACCTGCAGAGTATGCTTCTTCCTGCTAGGTATCTCTCTATAGTTTGGTGTTTCTTAGTACCACTTTATTTTTTTTTATTATTTTAAAAATGTTGTGGGAGTGGAGTCCATACACGGCAGCCAGGGGTGTCATTAGGACAGCGCTGAAAGGAGACGGGAGAGAGATAACAGTGCATTCCAAACCTGGTCTTTCCGATGAGTTGTTTTACACCTAGGTATAAACTGAATACTCAAATAAAATAGCAGAAATGGCATTGAAAATTTTGATTCATTCCTCTTCAGCCTGTGCTGGAAGCCAAAACCATGCTTTGCACAGAGTCGGCTGTGCTGGCTGGTCATCTCGGGCTGGAGCTGAAGTTTGCATTCTGCATGTTCGCTAAAACAGACCTAACAAAGTATTTGCTATACTTCAGTAGCTGAAAACCTTAACATTTAGTGATCACATGAATTCTGGATGAAAGAAATACAACTTCCATCACCTCTTCTGCTGCTCCTCTTGATTTCTGCCTTTGTACCTCTTATAAGGAGACATGTTCTTAATCACAAAAAAAAAAAAAATGTAATTGGCTTTTTATTATTATTTCCAGGGGAGGTACACATTGAGGGTGTACACGTGCTGGAAGCTTGTGTGTAAAAAAAAATAAATATTCGTGTAAGCACAGATAAAACTCTGGTTTATTTTTTTAATTTTAATTTTTTTATCTGCACAGATAAAATTCTGGTTTTTTTGTCTTGCAGGAAAAAAAAAATGTCATGCTGAACTTCAATTATTTCACCAAATATTATCTGTTTGACGTTCTATATTTTTTCATTTCAGTATTTCCGTCTTCCAAGGGAAACAAAAAAGTAAGAACAAATCGAAAAGTAAATAGAAAAGGAAAGAGAAAATAAAAAGAAAATTAGAAAATACTTATACTATACCCACAATACCTGCCCTTCCCTTTTCTAAAAAATAATGCTTATATGTAGAACAATATGCAGTTCGGATTATTTACATATAGTATAAAAAGACAAGGATGAAGAGAGGTGAGAGAAAACTTAAGTGCAAAATGCTGAGAGATAGGTATTAAATGCATTGGTGGGGAGGAAAAAAAAGGTATGAAAAGGAATGAAAATATGGAGAAAATTATTTATTTCAGGCATTTGTTATTTACAACCCAGCAATCTGTTTTATGCAGCCGCCACCCCAAGTCAACATTATTAGCGCTGTTATATATTCATTTATTTATTCATCTTTGGACAGTAATCCAAGAAATCGCCAACGTCGGTGGCATTTTAGTCATCTTGGATGATCCGTGCAGATGTGCAGCGGAACATAGGCACCACTGGTTTTAGCGGTAAATCCGATATTAGGCCGGTATTAGGCAATGTGTGTGCGGAGTGGCTGAGGAGGAGCAGGGGCTGTATTTATTGCTCCTACTCCACCAGTAGTGGGATGAGAGGGGACACGTAGCTCTCCCCATGCTGCCCGTGGCCCCGGCAGAGGCGCAGGCAGGGCGAGGAAGGGGTGCGCTGCTCCAGGGTTATACAAAAGAGACCGCTGCGATTCGCGGGACCGCTGTGCGGTGAAGTGGGGCGAGGAGGGGAAAGGAAGGGAGGGAAGCTGCAAGGCGGACCCCCAGCATCCCGGCGGGGGCTGGTCCAGGGACGGAGGCGGCTGCTACCCCCGTCCCGTCGGGACTGCAGCGGGGGCCGATGTAAGCTTCCGTGGGCTGTGGGGGACGATGTGCGGTGCGCTGCAGGGGCGGACAGACGGACAGAGCCACGCTCATTTTTGGCTGGCTCCCGCACACGCTGATGCGGCTCCGCCAGGGAGCGGCAGCAGCACGGGAGCCCGCGTGTGCTTTTTAAAAGAAGGAGATGGGCGGGGAATGGGTTGAATCCCCGGCAGCTGCTATTGGTAAAAATGTGTAGAATTTGTGCTTTCTTAATGGATTGATTCTATATGCGGTAAGGTAAGAGCTAATCTGATGGATGACCGTGTCGATTTCCGTTTTGGGAGAGTATTATTTTTTTACACGTTTTATGTGTAGGCACATGACTGTTTTTTACTGGGTGACATGTCAGCGTAGGGCTTACAAAACTGGAGAGAGAGTGACGGAAGTAACGTTATAAACGATGAAGAATTAAAATATACTTGTGGTGAAACGGGCACAAGCTAAGAGAACCTCCAATCTTTATTTTAAAAAAGACATACATAACAGTCTTTGGTGAGGGTTAACTTTTGCCTGATATGACCATTCACGTAAATAATTTATAATCTACTCATGCACTTGAGTTTTCGAACAAGAAAAAAAACAGTATGCACGGCCTATTTTTTTTTTTTTAATGGAATAACGTTATTCGTTTAAAAAAAAAAAACATTCCTGGACTACAAAAACACGGAAATCTTCTGGTTTTATTATTTAAACTACTCTTCTTTTCATTATGCGTTAAGGTAAACAGAAAAGTGCTGCCTGTGATTGTAATATAATTCAAGCCCTATGGATTTCCAGATAAAGTAAGCGTAAGGCTACAAGTGGTATTTAAAAAAAGTATCTAAATGCTCTTTCTATGAAGAATTGGGTACTGGATTAAATATGTACATGTTAGAAACCGTATGTCACACATTTAATAATGCAGCACCTAAGACAGAAATTACAAAACAATTTCCTCGGAGACAGCTCTCCATACCTGACTTTGCATATTTTGATTAAGAATTTTGAAATAAATTATTTCTGAAATAAAGGCTGATACAAGTGCAGTTAGAGGCCATAAAACATCAATGAAATCTTTTAAATCCATTTAAACTACCCCTATTACACCCTTTATCTATATTGCCTTATACCTTAAAATGGGGCAGAAGGGGAGGGGTGTGTTAGTCATTTCTAAAACTTGGTTTTCTTAATATGAAGTTACCTAGACAATCAACTTCCAGCAGTGTGAGCAGGGTAGCAAGACCCTCCAGCCTTTTAAATGTCCAATAAGCATATCGTGCACTTTGATTTGTAAAACTAGAACTGTTCATAACCTGTAATTTTCTACAAAATAGAATCATGGAGAAAACTAGATATAAAGACATACACTGCAGAGTCTCACCAAAACACAGGGAAATAAGAGTGGGGTGGAGGAAAGGACAAGTATATTCAAAGAAACAGAAAGGAGGGAGCAAAGGACAAGTGGTAGGCTGCAATTTCCAGTAAATTAAAAACAATGCAAATATACCTTACACTTGCATCAGTATTAAAAGTAACACGCGATGGACCAACAGGAGCAGGAGGAGGAGAACAGAATGGCGCAGCGGTGGATTCCTGTTCACACGCAGCGGCCGCCTGCGCCCATACGGGCTCTTCTGCGCGCCGCAGCTCGGCCCTGATAGCTCATTTCGGGGATATTTGTGTGGTAGATAATGATGATGATATTTGGAAGAAAAGGGGACGCTCTGCTAATTCCCGCTGATTAGCATCTTCGCAAATAGGGACGATCGCTCCCAGAATCCGCGGTCTCTTCTCCCAACGAGAGGATTTGCATAGTCTTTTCTTCTTTTTTTCTTTTTTTTTTTTTTTTTTTTTTTTTTTTTTTTTTTTTTTTTTTTTTTTTTTTTTTTTTTTTTTTTTTTTTTTTTTTTTTTTTCTTATGCCCTACTTTCGCTAATGTGTAAACGGATGTGCAGCCTTCAGCTGACGTCAATAGACGCGACCTCTCCGCTAAGCCTTGAGCGTGAAGAGGGGATGGGGGGACTCGGGGCGAGGGCGCAGCCGCGGAGATGCTCCGCGCTGTTCCGCAAGCGCGCAGGCTCCCGCCCGCATTCTACCCCATGAAATAAACTCTAGCAGCAGGAGCAGTGCTGCCCAGCCCAGCACTTGGCCCCAAAAAGAAAGCCGACCTCACCGCAGCACTGCAGAGTCCATCCAGCCTTCTCTATCTTTTTTCTTTCAATTTTTCTTATATATATATATATATATATATATATATATATATATATATATATATACACACACACACACATATANATATATATATATATATATATATATATATATATGTGTGTGTGTGTGTGTGTGTGTAGTAGTAATAGTAGTAGTGGTGGTATTTGGACGTTATTTGCGGCTTATTTTCATCAGGAGACGAGCGGAAAATATAAAATTCCAAGCAATTTTAAAAGATATTAAGAAAATTCCCCCCTCCCCAGCCAAAGTGCTGCATGACAGAGGAGCGTTGAGTCGGTGGGGGCGCAGCATTCATCCAGACGCTGCTCTGTAGCGCATCGCAGGTACGGGGCTCGGAGAGAGAAAGTGGGAGAAGGTAGGCTGGCCGCCAGAGGAGTGGGGTAGCCCTCATCTCGGGTATTGCCCTGATTTGCAAGTCCAAGCCGCGCTCATGGCTTTACAGCAATGCTTTCTCACTCCACCCAGAGGAGACGCGGTGTAAGCGGGGATTCGGTGAGCTACAGATATCGTACTGGCGGAGAGTAGGTTAGAGCATTCTGTCCTCTTCTTTCCTTTCCCCCACTCCTTTTGGAGACCGCACTGTGTCGTGATGTCTGGGAGAACTTTCACTTCCTGGGGAACTTCAGACGGCGAGACGGCAGGGTGAGATGTAGCCGGTGGCTTGGAAACGAGTGGTCCTCTCTGTTAGGACCAGAGTTTCCCTCCTTTTCTGCTGACATTATTTACGCCTTTTCAGCCTTCTATGAGCTGTTCCAGAGAATCTCTGTGGACCTTGACACAACCATTCCTAGAGCTGCAAACTGTATACTCACACACTGCTTCTCCCTTCAAGCATCTCAACTAAATTTAAACGCTCTCTCCAGGAAACGGAAACGTGAATGTGTTTCTGACCGGGGGAGCGGTTTTGGTTTTTTTGTTTGGGGGGTGGTGGGGTTTTTTTTTGGTTTGGGTTGTTTTTTTTTGGTTTTTTTTTTTTTTTTTTCCATACAGCCGAGCACTCGTGCTGAATTCCCTCGGTTCACTCGGGGCTGGCATGTGGATCCTCACAGAGCTCTCTTTGTCCGCCGGGTCTCCGAAGGCTCTGCCGACAGGGAATGTCCTGCCCCTGATCGGGGCTGCTGCGGGACTCTCCCCGTGGAAACATTCCGCGGGAGTCTGCGACTGGGAACGGCATTTCGCCTTCCTTCTCCCTGGAGCCAAGCGCCGGGGGGAACAGACGCCTGTTATCATAACTATAAATATTTATATGGATGGATGCATACATATGCATACACATGCATACACACACGTGTCTGTGTAGGGGCATCTGTAAGGAATATATATGTGGATGTGCGCATTTAGTAATTTTTTAGCGTCGCCCCTCCCCTCGCCAGCCCCCACCCCTCGCAGCCCCCTCCCCTCCGCGGGGCGCTGTGTATATCCGACCCGGAGTGAGGCGCCAGCACGACGTCGGTCCCCCTCAGTCACACCCCACACGCCCCCCAGACGGGGGCTAGAGCAGGGACGAACCCTCCTGCCATCCCCTCGCCTTGCCTACCTCCCTCTATCCCTCCTCCATCTCTCCCTCCACCCCTCCCTCATTGCACATCTCCTGTTCCGGCGCTAACCCAGACTTCTTCCCGTCGGCTCACGCAGCCTAAAACCTAGGTGGGGCTTTTATTGGTGTTTTCATGCTGTTCTCAAACTCGGAGAGATAGATGAGAGGGGGCAGAAGGAAACAGCAGCGCTTTGGGACATCCTCCTCCCAGTGACGAGAGGTCATGCTCTAAGTTCACCTGACAGCAGGAATGGGAAGAGTGTTTTTTGTTAACATCATTATTTTTCCTGTTTAGGTTTTTTTGGGTTTTTGTGGGGCGGGGGGAGGTTTGGGGTTTTTTGGGGTTTTTTACCTGGTGTTGACCGACTGCTTGATTTTGACAAAAGTTGCACAGAATATAAGTGCCCCCCAGAAACAAGACTCAGATGACACTGTTCTTCAGAAGTTAACAGGAGAGAGGGAAGCACCTTAGGAAACTCGATTTTTTCTTTCACTTTTTTTTTTTTTTTTT